TTGTTTGGATCTACAATCGACACTCGCAAGCAATCAAGAAATCAAACGACATATTGCACCAGGCAAATCTGCTGCACAAGACCTCTTTAAAGTGCTGATGAGCAAAGATGTCAGTTTGAGGATTAAGGTGCCCCTGACCCAAGCCATGGTATTTTCAATAGCCTCATATGAATGTGAAAGCTGGACAGCGAATAAGGAAGATCCTAGATGAATCAGTACATTTGAAATGTGATGTTGGAGAAGAATATAAAACGTACCATGGACTTCCAGAAAAACAAACAAATGTGTCTTGGATGAAGTACAGCCAGAATGATCCTTAAGAGCTAGGATGGTGCAATTTGGTCTCTCGTACTTTGGACATGCTATCAGGAGGGACCAGTCCCTGGAGAAGGATATCATACTTGGTAAATTGCAGGGAGGGGCAGTGAAAGAGAGGAAGACCCCCAAGGAAATGGATTGACACAGTGGCTGCAGCAATGGGCTGAAACAGAATAATTGTGAGGATGACTCAGGACTGAGCGGTGTTTTGTTTTGTTGTACAGAGGGTCGCTGTGAGTTAAAACTGATTTGATGGCACACAATAACAATAACACACCTGCAGCTCAGAGTGTTTGGGGTTTGTCTTCTAGGACAACAGAGAAGATGTTGGAGGTGACCGTTGCTGAGGATGAGGATGAGGTTACCCTGAGCACCCACGGGATAGGTTGTTCACCCTCTCTGCCCACGTCTTCTGTTGCTCCTGTACTGACACACCTGTTACCTGCAGGTCACCTAAGGTCCACTTGCAGGACACATGCCACATTCCTGTTCCTCACTTCTTACAGCCAACCAGTCACTCGGAGCCTACCACTGCGGTCTCTGTCAGTCCACTTCTTAGCCCTCAGGCTGGTCCCACTGCCCCTGTCTGAGTTGAATCTGTCACCTTTTCATGGTGCTCACAGGAGGCCCCAGTAGGACACCTGGATCCCGACACTGCCCTTGTCCAGTCCTCTTCCTGCCCTGCTGCAGAGGGAGCTTTTAAAAGGCCAATGAGGAGACATCACCTCCCTCCTTATAAACCTCTCAAGGTACCTCAAGGCCAAAGGCTATATAGTCCCCAACCCCAGCAGGACAAAGAGTGTCCCTTCCATGCTGGCTCTGTTTCATCCTCTGCCCTTGCCCCTATGCCCCACCCACACTCCACAGTGTAACCCTCACCTCCTTTTCCTCTGCACAGCATCCTTGTTTGCTTCTTGTCTTTGCCTGTGCTCATCCTCGAGTCAGGAATATAATTTCCAGACATGTCTTCCTTTAACCCTGAGTCACCCATGACGGTCAGTTCTAGGGTCACTTCCTCTGACTCCCATTGGGGTTCCATTTCCGCTAGATTTTCCACACTGCTCTGCAGCTACTGGTTACTTGTATGTGTCCCTACCCCATCAGATTATGAGGTTCCCAAGGGCAGGAGCCCTGGACAGTGCTTCATGTGCTCACATGATAACCAGAAGGTCAGAGGTTCGAGTCCATCCAGAGGCACTTCAGAAAGAAGCTCTGATGATCCACTTCTGAGAAATCAACCACAGAAATCCTATGGAGCACAGGTCTACTCTGACACACATGGGGTCACCATGACCTAGAGTTGATCCCCTCACAACCCGTTACCCATGTTCCCACCAGCACAAAGCCAGGCACACTTAGTGTGCCCCCAGGGGCCATGGAAGCTGGTGCCAGCAGTGTCAGTGGATGAAGTGTCCTCAGGGGCATGTCTATGTAAGGCAGGATGGAGTGCCCTGTCTGGTGACTGGGGGGTCAGCATGCTTGACCGAAGCTTTGTAGTGAGGCCAACTGTGCAGTTTCTCTGGGCTTCCCAGGTGCCCAGTGCAGGAAGCCCAGCCCCTGCATTCCGCGCCATGTAGGAAGAAGGGTCTCCAGCTGAGATTTGGGAGACAGCAGGCAGTGAAGTGCAAGGCCCCTGGTTTGGGAGTACTCCGTCCTCTCTCTCTGGCTAAACCCATTCCCCCTTGGGCAGCAGTCTTTCCTTCCTGGGCTTCCTGTACTGCAGGGCCCTTGGGGTCAGCATAGCTGAGTCCCAGGTAAACTCTTCTGAAAGTCAAGCAGGGCCTGGGTCGGGTTCTGGGATTTCTTGGACTGGTAAAATTTGAGGGTTGCCAACACTTTATTTTGCTAAGGATGTTTGAAAAAAAAAAAAAAAAAGTTTCCATCCAACATTTGATAAAAGAAAGGACATTGTTATGCCAAGATAGTAGGAAGGAGGTAATCTCAGAGTAATGAATAACCCTTCCCAGCAAGGGCAGCCGGTAGGCACTTGAAGAGCGGACCAGCTTGGTCCCTGCTTGGTCTCTGGGAGCCACTCAGTTCCCTGCAGTGGCCTGCTGATAACACCACCCAGTGACTTTTCTGGCTCAGGTCTATCCAGTGCATCCTGAGCTAGTTAGAACCTGGGACAGGTGCAGTGTGAAGGATCCTTTTTATATGGCCTTTCTTGGCATGATCTTATCACTCCTACCAGATGACAGGGTGTTGTTGTTAAATGCTGTTGAGTTGGTTCTGACCCATAGTGACCCTGTATAGGGTTTTTGAGGAGCCACTGGTGAGCTTGAACCCACCAACCTTTTGGTTCAAACCAACTCTGCAGTCCAGCGCATTAACCCACAGCGCCACACTAGGGTGGGACTGTGCAAATGTGGTGGCCTACCAAGGTGATTGGATAGTTTGTTAATAATGTAAATAAAGTGCCTGTCACCCTTGTGAGATCATACAAATAAAGTGTTGTTTTTGTTAAGTGCCATTAAGTCAGTTCTGACTTATAGCAACTCTGTATAATAGGGTTTCCAAGGAGTGGTTGGTGGTCTAGAACTGCTGACCTTGTGGTTAACAATCCAGTGCTACCCTATGGTGTCACACCCTATGTATGGAACCTACAAAGGGGAATTGGTCAGTTTTGTCATCTCTCAAGACTTAAAAAAGAGAGCCAATCTTAGAGTGAAGGTGGGACCTCTACCTCCAAAACAGAAGAGCTTGCCATGGACTTGTGATCCCTTCGCTGAGAACCTTTTACAACCAGGAGACAAAAAGAGAGCGAGAAAGAGAGCTGTATCATTGGAGATGGTAAGAGATGGCGGCAGAGACCAGCAAGAGACAGAACAGCTCAAACAGCCAGAAAGCATTTTCAGGCAGGGAGGCTTGCTGGGCACTTGTTGATGGAGATAGACTTGCCAAGAGTTTACAGACAGAGTGGGGTGTCCCCAGCACTTACTGTCAGAGTTAAAGAGCTTTGTAACACTTGCCTGAGCAGGGCCAAGACCTGGCTGAGGGACCAGGGGCCAGAGAGAAAGCCTGCCTGAAGGCATGACTGAGACGAAGTGGCCCTGAATGAAGACCTGTTTCTAATCCGGAATTATATAACCTGTTACCTCTCTAATACACCGTCTCACAGTGAGCACTGTCTGGGAATTCTGTGTGGCCATTGCAATGGGTGATCTGACCCAGCAGAGAAGTAAAGAGCACTGTGGGAGGGGCGGCTGGGGTCAGAACTGGTCAAAAGGTCGGAGGGTGGAATGATGCTTGCCCTCTAGCCTCCATAGGATTTGGCCTTGGGCTGATGCTAATCGTGACTCTCTCTCCTCCTGAAGTTACAGGATGCCAGACTCCCATGTGTTATCCTTTTTACAACAGGTAAAATGGAACTGAGGACAAAGAAGGAAACATTTGTAATCTGAGGTGTGCTGGAGAAGGCACGGCGCAAACTGTCCAATCCTACCCCAGGCTGGCATGTGGCATGGTGGCCAAGGGGATGTGGGGGACAGCTACTTTGGGCTGCAGGCGTCAGGCATTCTTCCTTTAAGTTCCACATGAGTCCCCAGCCCTGTTTATAAGGCACAGGGAGCCAAGGAGTCTGTGTGGCTCCGCCAACTCAACCTAGAGGTTTGGCCTAGGGAACCCATGCCAGAGGTGAGGTTGGGCCACCTTCCTCTGCCAGCCTAGGACTCATAAGTCGGCAACTTTCAGAGTCCCTAGCACCTGACTGGTGCCTCTCTGGGTGCCCCTGGGCCTGGAATCTGGACCAAGCAAGGGCAAACTGACAAGAGATAGTGTCCTGAGGTGGGGGGCATTCATGCCCCCTGGGTGCCACCCTCTTTAAATAGCTCAGCTTCCCTCAGTCTCGCAGTCCTAGCACCTCTGCCAGCACCTTCCAGCACTTTCCATACCAAGGATGGCTGTTTCCAGGTCAGCATGTGAAGGGGGGGCGCTGGGGGGCAGGGTGACCCGGCTTTCTTGGGCAGTGTGGACTTACGAAAGTCAAATGCCACCCCTGTCCCAGACAGGAAGAACCCTAAACCCCAGCTTCCCCTTGGCCCCTGGAAAAATATATATTCAACCTGGCCACCTGCAGCTAGCTGAGTCAGCAAGCATTTGACCAAATATCCCCAGCTGGGTGCCTCCCACTGGCTGAGCCCTCCTTCTCTCCCAGAACGCAGATGACGTGAAAGGGTTCATCTTCAAACAAACCTCCTGTTACTATAAGTCTTGGTCCTGGTCACTCACCCTCCCGCTGCCCCACCCACCTCACATCCCTCTAGATCACTATTCAGCAACCCCAAGACAGACCAAGGGGTTTGAATTATGACAACCCCTGACACTGATGCAGGACTTCACGGCTTACAGCCTGTTTTCACATGATTATTGCCTAAGATCTTCACAATGATATGCAGGATATATATAAATAATCCCCATTTTACAGCCAACGAAACTGAGAGCCAGAAAAATTGGGGGCTGGAGCCAAGTCCCTATGTCCAATTAGTGGCCTAATCAAGACTGAGGCCCAGGCCCTGTAAGGATTTCCACTGCACTCAGAATGTCCCGTCTCATCATTTTCTACTCTCTGGCAACGCAGGGAGGGGGACTGGAGGACCACGTGTCTTCTCTCCCAGGCCCTGAACCCTGTTGCTGGCTCCACAGGTCACTTTCACAACCAGAACAGAAATCTCACTAGATAGGGCTCAGACGGCCTGGCTCCAGCCCCCGTCGCCGGCCAACGCAGACACACAGACACAGAAAGCCGGCCTGTTATCGGCCCTCTCCAGCTCGGCTCCTCCACCTCTCACACAGCACAGCTCTTCCAGCCTGGCTGGCTCTCGGTCACCACCCACAGCCACTGGCCCCTGGGGCCCGGCCAAGTCCCCCTCGGCCTCGCTGCCCTAGACCGTGACGCCAAACCCTTGTTAATCAGACAGTCGTCTCTGCTCTCCCAGCCACCGCCCCCAGAGTTCCCTGGAAATGTCCCTTCTGCAGGACCGGCCCCCGCTGGGCTGTGCAGCATTGTCCCACACACAGCTTATTTGTGTTTGCAGGGAAGTCAGGGGGCTGGCGCTAGGGTGGGAGCCAGGAGGCGCTAGGAGCAGATGGGAGGAAAACAAAGTCCAGAGGACAGACTTGTGCAAGCAAGCTCTTTGGGCCTGACCACAGGAGAGGGAGGGGCTAGAACAGCCTGGAGCACCACAAAGCAGGGATGGAGGTCTTTGCCCTCTGTGACAACTATGGCCAGAGCACAGGAAAAGCTGTGTCAGCCCAGATGAGATGAGGTGGCATGAGAAGAGGGGCTGGGAGAGGAGAGGGACCTAGCTGTGCTCCCCTCCACCCTCAAGCCCTAAGAGCATCCATTGAGCACTCAGGTGGGCGCACAGAGGGTATTCAATCGATGCTTCTTAAGCTGGACTGGCTTCTGTCCACCTTGTCCCTATGGGGCTCTCATTCCAACCAGTTTCCAGATACAGAATATCTTCCACCCAGGCTGAGGGGAAAATTGGCTACAGTGTATCATTGCTATATACATATATATGTATACACATAACTAACATATATGTATCTGTGCACATGGAGTCCTGGTTTGGCACTGTGGGATAAAACACTGGACTGCAAGGTTGGTTTGAAACACAAGGTGAGCGGTTCAAACTCAGCAGCCACTCCTTGAAAACCCTATACAGGGTTGTTATGAGTTGGAATCAACATGACAGTACTTAACAACAACAACATATACAAATACGTATGCATGTATATTGTCATTGTTACTGTGTGTCTTCAAGTGGAGTCTGACCCATAGTGACCCTATAGGATAGAAAAAAACCGCCTCATTGGATTTCCTAGACTATAAGAAGATGAGGACATGAAACAAGAGATATTGCTGATGTCAGATGGATTTGGTCTGAAAGCAGAGGATACCAGAAAGATGTTGACCTATGCTTTATTGACTATGCAAAAGCATTTGACTGTATGAATCATAACAAATTACAGAGATCATTTTGAAGAATGGGAATTCCAGAACACTTAATTGTACTCATACAGAACCTGTACGTAGATTAAGAGGCAGCTGTTGCAACAGAACATGATTTAAAATCAGGAAAGATGTGCGTCAGTGTTGTATCCTTTCACCATACTTATTTAATATGTATACTGAGCAAAAAGTGGAGAAACAACCTCAGGGCTGGAGGAAGACTCACTAACAGCCTGTGATATGCAGATGATATAACCTTGCTAGTTGAAAGTGAAGAAGACTTAAAGCATTTACCATGAAGATCGAAGACTACAGCCTTCAGCTTGGATTACACGTCAACATAAAGAAACCAAAAACCCTTACAACTGGACCAAGAAGCAACATCATGATGGTGGTGGTGGTTGTGTGTGTCAGCAAGTCGGTTCTGACTCATAGCGACCCTGTATAGGGTTCCCGAAGCTGTAAATCTTGATAGGAGCAGAAAGTTTCATCTTTCTCCACGGAGCCACTGGTAGGTCTGAGGTGCTGACCTTGCAGTTAACAGCCCACCTCATAATCCACTATCTTACCAGGGCTCCTTAATATCATGATAAATGAAGACAATATTGAAGTTGTCAAGGATTTCATTTTACTTGAATACCTTTGGAAGCAGCAGTCAAGAAATCAAATGACATTGCTTTGGGCAAAAATACAAAAGACCTCTTCAAAGTGTTAAAAAGCAAAGATGTCACCTTGAGGACTAAGGTGCACCTGACCCAAGCCATGGCAATTTTCAGTTGCTTCATATGCATGTATAAGGAAGACCAGAGAAGAAGTGATGCCTTGGAGTTATGGTGTTGGTGAAGAATATTGCAAATACCATGCACTGCCAGAAGAATGAACAAATCTGTCTTGGAAGAAGCGCAGCCAGAATGCTCCTTAGAAGTGCGGATGGCGAGACTTTGTCTCATATTTGGACATGTTATCAGGAGGGACTATCCCTCCTGATAGAACATCATACTTGGTAGAGGTTATTAACACCATGGCAATAATGCGCTCAAACACAGAAACGATGGTGAGGACGGCACAGGACTGGACAGTGTTTGGTTCTGTTGTATGTAGACTCTCTATGAATTGGCACAGACTCAAAAACTGTGACTTTGGTTTTGGGTTTAGTATATGTGACTATGTGTTAAAATATATATACTTATAAAACATATGTAAATATAAACATTTTCATTACACATATGTCGGACTGCAAAGCCGTTTGAACTGCAAGCTTGGCGGTTCAAGCTCACCAGCTGCTCCTCAGAAACCCTGTATAGGGTCGCTATGGGTCGGAACCGACTCGGCGTCACTTAACAACAACTATATATATTGTTGTTGTTGTTGTGTGCCGTGGAGTCGGTTCCGACTCATAGCGACCCTGTACAGGGTTTCCGAGGCTGTAAATCTTTATGGGAGCAGAAAGCCTCCTCTTTCTCCAGTGGAACAGCTGGTAGTTTCGAACTGCTGACTTTAAGGTTCGCAGGCCAATTTGTAACCACTATGCTACCAGAGTGATATATATATATATATATATATATATATATATATACGCCTCGGAAATCCTGTACAGGGTCGCTATGGGTCGGAACCGACTCGACGGCACTTAAGAACACATATATATATATGGCGGTGGTGGTATGCTGTCGAGTTGGTTGTGAATCACAGTGATCCTGTGTAGTGTTTCCGGGGCTGTATATCTTTATAGGAGCAGAAAAATGTCATCCTTCTCCCTTGGTAGATTTGAACTGCTGACCTTTTGGTTAGCAGACCAACATGTGCCCGCTACACTACTAGGGATATATACATACACATATAGATTAGTTGTTACTAAGTACCATCGAGTCAGTTCTGAGTCCCAGCTACTCTGATTTGGATTTTCGAGGAGCAGCTGGTGGGTTTGAACTGCCAAGCTTGTGTCACACCAGGAATCCATTTATACATGGTGCTGTAGGATAACTACTAGACTGCAAAGTCAGTTTGAACCCTTAAGTCAGTGGTTCACACCCTTCAGCCACTCACAGGGCCACTGTGAGTCGGAACCAACTTAACAGTACTTAACAACAACAATAACAACAATACATACACATGCACACATATATGTCCCTGGGTGGTGCAAACAGCTAAGCACTTGACTACTAGCTGAAAAGTTGGTGTTTCAACCCACTCAAAGACACCTCGGACTTCTGGTGTGGTGCATGATGGCAAGGTTGGTTTTAACCACAAAGTCGACTGGTCAAATTCACCAGTAACTCCTGGGAAGCCCTATACTGGGTTACTATGAGTCAGAACCGACTCTATGGCACTTAACAACAACAACATCAGAGTCGCCTCACAAGATAGGTTGGTAATCTGCTCTGAATGGTTATAGCCTTGAAAGCCCTGTGGAGGACAGTTCTCAGAATTGCAATGAACTCAATGGCAGCTGGTATATATGTGTTTGTATGTATGTGTGTATGGCGCTGTGGGTTAATGCGCCAGACTGCAAAGCCGTTTGAACTACAAGGTCAGTGGTTCAAGCTCACCAGCTGCTCCTTGGAAACCCTATACAGGGTCGCTATGGGTCAGAACCGACTCGATGGCACTTCACAACAACAACAAATGTATGTGTGTGTATAAGGAGCCTGGTGACTCAGTGGTTAAGCACTTGGCTGCTCACTGGAATGCCAGTGGTTCGAATCCAAGAGAAAGATGAGGCAGTCTGCTTCTGTAACGGTTTATAGCCTTGGAAACTCTATGGGGGGCAGTTCTACTCTGTCCCTATAAGGTTGCTTTGAGTTGGAATTAACTCCAGGACAATTTTGATTTTTTAAGCCCCCTACATGCAAGGTGTCCCTTTTGTAAGGCCAAGGAGCCAGGGTGTCTGTGTGGCTGGCAAGTGTGTAGGGAAATGACACAGGTCCAGCACTGTATTAAGTGTCCCTTACCTTCCTGCAGCCACCCCCCTCGTGACCTTTCCTGTGTGGAGCCCTGGGCCACTTAACCTGATTCTGAAATGAAGCTGCGGCCCCTGACATGTATAAGGGTCATGATAAATCAAGTTGTATGGAGGGAGTAAGAGGGAAAAACCAACCCCACCAAACATGGCAGTGGTGGTGACAGTGACTTTTTACAGCATGGCTCTTTCTCTGGGGTGACACCCTAGGCTGGGAGCCAGAAACCTTAGAAGGGCTCCTTCACAATTGAGCAACCGGGGCTCCTCGGCTCATACCCCGGAGCCCTCGCCACTCCTTAATAATTTAGAGCCTTAGAAACCAGAGTGTGAGCAGGCTCTCATTTTTAATTTTCAGGCCTGAGGTCCTGGCGTCTTCAGCCCAGCGGGCAGTGAGGATGGGACCAGTTCAAAGTGCCTCTATCCACTCTTCTGAATGCAGCCACCTTCTTGACATGACACACAACCCAGGGTTGCTCTTTCGGGAAACTGTCACCTGCTGCAGGCCTTCCTTTACTCCAGAGGGGCCACCACCAGCCGGTGTGGGAGCAAAACATGCCAAAGTGAGTTTTCGTCTGTGTATTTTTGGTTAAAATGGGGAATTTCATGAGTGTAACAGCATCCTATTTAAATCAACTTCTCTTGGTACATCTAGAAATTTTCTACCAACACATTGGGGGTAAGTAATGGCGCTGTGGGTTAATGCGCCAGACTGCAAAGCCATTTGAACTTACCAGCTGCTCCTCAGAAAACCTATAGAGGGTCGCTATGGGTGAGAACCAACTCGATGGCATTTAACAACAACATTATTAATATATCAAATTACAGACTTCACAAAATCATGAAGAGTGAGTGTGATGGGCTGGACATAATGGGGAAGCCCAGGCTGGCCTGTCTGCAGTTTAGGGGAGAGGGACAGCCCCCTTTTCCAGCAAGGCAAGAAGGAGGCAGGTTTGGCTCCCCAGTGGAGCCCTGAAAGTCGCTCTCAGAGCTCACTACCACTGGTTAGTCTGAGAAGGAGTCTCAGAACCACATACGGGCTAGTTTCTCTACCACCTGCCATCTGCCTTAGACCTGGCCTGCTTCACCCCACCTGCCTACTCACAAATACACTCTAACCAACAAAGGTAATCAGGAAGGAGTGTGCTCTGAGGAGGCAGGGCCACGGGGTGCCAGGGGACTTTAGGTGGGTTTCCCAAGCACTCTGGTACTTCCTCTATGTGTAAAATGGTATTATTAACATTTACCTCTAAGTCTAATGGATACATAGGATGCCTAGCAGTGTCTGTACATAGCCGGTGTTTAAAA